GCTGGATCATCAAATAAGCAAGAGAGTTCCAGAAAAACATCTATTTCTGTTTCATTGAGTACTCTAATGCCTTTGACTGTGTGGATCACAACAAACTGTGGAAAATTCTTAAAGAGATGGGAATACCAGGCCACCTTACCTGTCTCCTGAGAAACCTGTATGCAGGTCAAGAACCAACAGTTAGAACTTTACATGAAACAACAGACTGGTTCAAAGTTGGGAAAGGAGTATGTCAAGACTATATATTGTCACCTTGCTTATTTAACTTCAATGCAGAGTTGTTGTTGTTCAGTTGCTAAGTTGTGTCCAATTCTTTCCAACCCCATGGACTGCAGCACGCCAGGCTTCACTGTTCTTCACTATCTTCTGGAGTTTGCCCAAACTCATGTCCATTGAGTCATTGATGCCATCCAACCATCTCATCCTCTGTCACCCACTACTCCTCTTGCCCTCAATCTTTCCCAGCATCAGGATCTTTTCCAGTGAGTTGGCTCTTTGCATAAGGTGGCCAAAGTATTGGCACTTCATCTTCAGCATCGGTCCTTCCAACCATATTGAGGGTTGATTTCCTTTAGGATTAACTGGTTTGATACTGGAGTGGGTTGACATTTCCTTCTCCATGGGACCTTCCTGACCCAAGGATCGAACCTGGGTCTCCCACATTGCAAGCAGATTCTTTCCTGTCTGAGCCACCAGGGAAGCCTAATTGGCTATACATCAATACAAAATAAAAAGTTTAAAGTTACAAAAAATGCTGGCTTTAAACTCAACATGAAAACAACTAAGATCATGGCATCTGGTCCAATCACTTCATGGCAAATAGAAGGGGGAAAAGCAAAAGCAGTGACAGGTTTTATTTTGGGGGTCTTAAAATCACTGCAGACAATGACTGCAGTCATGAAATTAGAAGATGCATACTCCTTATAAGGAAAGCTATGGCAAACCTAGATAGCATATTATAAAGCAGAGATATCACTTTTCCAACAAAGGTCCATGTAGTCAAAGCCACGACTTTTCCAGTAGTCATGTATGGATGTGCGAGTTGGACCATAAAGAAGGCTGAGTACCGAAGAACTGATGCTTTTGAACTGAGGTGCTGGAGAAGACTCTTGAGATCCCCTTGGACAGCAGGGAGATCAAACCAGTCAATCCTAAAGGAAATCAACCCTGAATATTCATTGGAAGGACTGATGCTGAAGCTGAAGCTCCAATACTTTGACCACCTGATGTGAAGAGCCGACTCATTGGAAAAGATCCTCATGCTGGGAAAGATTGAATGCCAAAGGACAAGGGGACAGCAGAGGATGAGATGGTTAGATAGCATCCTCGACTCAATGGGCATGAATTTGATCAAATTCCAGAACATAGTGAAGGACAGGGGAACCTCACATGCTGCAGTTCATGCAGTTGCAAAGAGTTGAACACAACTTAGTGACTGAACAACAAAAGAGGCCTTTTGAGTCATTTGATGAACAACCTTGCTGGAACCCGGGCCTTACCCCTTAGGAAAGAAGCAGAGCCATCACAACATTGGGAGGCATGATGTGACAGTGGGCCATAAAGAAGGCTGAGTGCCAAAGAATTGATGCTTCAAATTGTAGTGCTGGAGAAGACCCCTGAAAGTCCCTTAGACAGCAAGAAGAGCAAACCCATCAATCCTAAAGGAAATCAACCCTGAATCTTCACTGGAAGAACTAATGCTAAAGCTGAAGCTCCAATACACACATACATGTAAGAAGGTGGAACCTCCTTTATTTTGTTTGCTTATCAAAATAAACCTGCAGGACATAGATTTTGACACACGCTGCTTTTGACATTCTCATGAAATTTCACTTCAATCATGACTATGTTATCACTCCCTGGGCTGGGAGATTATCAGAAAATTCACTGAGTGGGGAGTCAGGGGCCCAAAGTTGGACCTTGGCTCAATGACTAACCGGTTTTGTGGCCTTGGTTAACTCATTTTTTCTCCCAAGACCTCATTGTTTTGTTGTTGATGTTGTTGTTGAAGGAAAAGGATTGGACTGCTAAATACAGTTGTATAGGAGATTGGGTCCAGCCTTCCCCACCCCATCCCCACCTCTGACCCCACAGATACCAAAATGCTCAGATTCTTTAGCCCCCTGCCTTCTGGATCTGTGGTTCCAAATCCACAGTTAGAGAGGGCCAACTGTAATCTACACAGAATTTTATAATGTTGAAATTTCCTTTTTTAAAAAAAACTGAGATATAATTCACATACCACTAGTAGTCACCTTTTAAAATCATGCAATTCAGAGGGTATTTTTTTTTTTTAGTATATTCACAAAGTTATACAGTCATAACCACTATGTAATTTTAGAACATCTTCATCACCCAAAAAGAAACCTACATCCATTAGTAATCACTAGCCATTTCTTCTACCCAGCCCCTGTCAACCACTAACCTACTTTCTGCCTATATGGATTTTCCTTTTATGCACATTTTATGTAAATAGAATCATATAACAGGTGCCATTTTGTGTCTATCTGGCTGGTTTCACTTAGCTTAATGTTCTCAAGGTTTATCCATGTTGTTGCATGAATCATTACTTCATTTCTTTTTATGGCTGAATAATATTCCATTGTATTAGTTTTGTTTTTAAACAAAGAAATAATGGACAAAACATATTCTGTTCTCTTTTTTGCAGGACTCACTACCCAGCTCTAATCTTTATCCCCATTCCTCATCCTTAAACTCTGGCCTTAAACATCACCCTGTCCCCAGGTTCACCCCTATCCCATCTCTGAGCTACAGTGCATCCCAGACTCTCACCCTATCTCTGACATTCTCCCACCCCTCGTGCCTTATTCCTCACCAAGCTTGCCGTAACCCCCTTCCCATCTGTCACTCACAAATAGGCTTCTTTTTTTTCCATTTATTTTTATTAATTGGAAGCTAATTACTTTACAATATTGTAGTGGTTTTTGCCATACACTGACATGAATCAGCCATGAATTTACGTGTATTCCCCATAATCTCTCAACCCATCGTTGATCAGTTGGTATGAAGTCACTCGTGGCATATACCCCTTGGGAATTAGTTAAAAACTAAAAGCTTGATTTTGTAAAAGATTATAAACCAGGTAAATTCTCAAATGTCCAAGGCATCCAAGCCACAGCTCCCAAATGCATGCATGCTTCCCTGCGGCCTTTCGGAGCCATCGTTGCGTGCAAACCTCCAGGAGAAGACACTGTCCTGGAGGGACACTGGGGCAGGAAGCACCACTTCCCACTTCTGCTGCTTCTTCCGGGGGCAGAACTGCTTCACCCTCAGTATACCGGGCGCCAGGCCCTCACCCCTTCTGTCCCCGTGCTTCTACAGAACGAATGTGAAGGGGACCTGGCAGAGGCGATGCCGGCACTCGAGGCTGCACTCGCTGCGCTGGACACTCTGAACCCAGCAGATATCTCACTGGTGAAGTCGATGCAGAACCCACCTGGTCCTGTCAAGCTGGTCATGGAGAGCATCTGTGTGATGAAAGGGCTGAGACCAGAGAGGAAGCCGGACCCCAGTGGCAGCGGTAACCCCTTCCAGCACCCTTCCCAACCCAGAGGCGTACAGAGGCTGCTCTCTCCTGACAGGAAGGGTGTCAGCATCCCCACTCATCCTGCCCCAGGCCTGCAGGCCGTACCGTGGTGTCTTAGGGGAAATAAGATGGGCCCCAGGATTTCTGTGTGGTCGCTTGTGTTTCTTCACCATCCTCTCTCCTCTCAGTCAGTAAGGAAAACGCAGGCATCTTTAGGTGAAGCCAAACTCAGTCCAGGCCCCTGCCTACAAATTGTTACAAAAATGAAGGTCATGCAGACAAGAGGACTGATAGGGAGCAAACACACAGAGTAGTATGTGGGTGAGAGGGAGAGAAACAAAAAGAGCTAGAGAGAGAAAGATAAAGGAGAAACTGAGAAAAAGAGAGAGACACTGAAAGATGACCAGAGGAAAAAGGAGACAGAGACAGAGAAATGGAGAGAAAGATAGACTGAGAGAGAAATAGAGAGACCTGGACACCTAGATATACGCACATGGGCATGAAGAGATCATAAACAGAGAGAGAGAGAGAGGTCGGGGTGAAAAGAAATCTGGAGGAAGAAAGACGAACACAGGGAGGGGTGAATGGGGGAGTGAGAGACTCTTACAGGGTCAGATACTGATGACAGAGAAAGATATTGGCAAGAGAGAAAAGCAGAAATAAGCTAAGACACAGAAAAGCTGAAAGTGAACAATGGAGGATTCCCCCTCCCCCCCTCAAGAGACACAGAGACATACAAAAATAGAGAGTGAGTGGGAAGAAATAGACCAGAAAGAAGAGAAATAGAGACAGGGAAACAAAGACACACACAGAGAATGGTGGTAGGAGGTGAGGTGGAGCATGAGCTGCTGGTGAAGGATTAGAGGAAGAAAGGCAGGGATAAAGGAGACGGAGAGTGAAACTGACAGGCCTGAGGAAGACCAGGATACAGAAACTCAGAAGAGGGGAGAAAAGGAATAGGGGAGAGAGAGAGGAACGTTTATATAATAGAGCCTAGAAACATGAATAAGTGAAAATTCATTTTTAAAATTTAAATTAGATATAGAAGCTTGCACTAAAATCAGTGTCTTAAAACTGAACTTTAAAAACCATCTCCTGTGATATTTCTTGCCTTTTGAATCCGTGTATCCTTCAAACAGTCCCGCTATTCCCCCATTGCTTCTGAAATGTTAGAAATGCCTGATCCCTCCTTTGGAAGACTCTGGCTTCTGCTTCCCAGTGAATAGCATTCCCTCTTCCTTGGCTGGTTTCAGGACAAAAACCACATGAAGAAATGCAGAGGTGATCAGAAATGGACAAATAGGGAGAGGATGCTACAGGAGACTCCTCTAGAGAAGCACCTGAGGCGTAATAAGTTAGTCTGAGTAAAGATGAGCTAGCCAGTGCTTTTCCACTCTGACTGTACCCTGGTATACCTGGGAACTTAAAGAATGCTAAAGCCCCTGCCCCCACTCCTAGAGATTCTTATTCCTTTAGCCTAGGGTGTGGCCTGAGCATTAGTATTTTTCTTAAAGCTCCCAGGTGATTCTAAGGTACAACCAAGATTGAGAACTACTGAAATATGCAAAGCAGGGTCAGGTCTCAAAAACCAGTTCTCTTCTTCAATCATTGATGTTGGCCACAGGATGCATCATCCACTTTTCTTATTTTAAAATTGAAGTGAAGTTTGTGTATTATTCACAAAATAACTCACAGAATTTAGCCAGTATATTGGAATGGAGCAAAAGCACAAATAAATTTTGTACTTAGTCGCTCAGTTGTGTCTGACTCTTTGAGACCCCTGACTGTAGCCCGCCAGGCTCGTTTGTCCATGGGGATTTTCCAGACAAGAATACTGGAGTGAGTTGCCATATCCTCCTCCAGGGGATCTTCCCAACCCAGGTCTCTGGCATTGCAGGCAGATTCTTTACTGTCTGGGCCACCAGGGAAGCCCAAATTAGTTTTGGATACCTTAAATTTAAACAAAGCAGATCATTTCCTAGGATAGAAACAAAAACTTTCATTGGAAATATTTGTTTGGTGTCTAAGCTTGCTTTAGAAATAGGATATATTTGACCTGTTGTATCTAATACAATATCTCAAGTACAACTCTTTTTTTTTTTAACTTTTTATTTTGTAGTGGAGTTTAGCTGATCAATATTGTGATAGTTTGAGGTGAACAGTGAAGTGACTAAGCCATACATATACAGGTATCCTTTGTACCCCAAGCTCCCATCCCATCCAGACTGCCACATAACATTGAGTAGATATTTTTTGATGAGTGGAGCTTGGCAAGGGTTTAATCGTCAAAAAGAGTGACTTTTTTCTAACACATTGAGAAAAGGAGCACTTCCTGGGATGGGATCAGGGCTCACTCATTTATTAGTCATCATGAGGGGTGCTAAAGTGAACAAAGGCCCTGTTTCGTTTCAGGGCAGGCTGAGGACAGCCCTCTGTCTGGTTGCAAGTCTGCAAGTTGCTTACCCCACCCTCACTCTTTCTCTGGAGACATTCAGTCACTCACTCACTCACTAGAAGGACTGATTCACCCCACGGATGACAAAACATGCTCTATCAGACCCACCTCCCATATTTGGAAAAGAATATTCAAAGTATTAATACACGCTTATGGATCCAGTTGCCCTCTTCATGTATGACTGGGGAAAAGGGCAACATTCATTAAATTCATGTTAAAAACTGATAATCACACACTGTGCCAGATTGTAATAAACACAGAAGGAGCAAACAATTTTTTAAATATATAGTTGATTTACTATATTAGTTTTAAATGTATAACTAGTGACTCAAAATTATTATAGATTATAGATTAGGTTATAGATTATTATAGGTTATCTAGATTATAGATATAATCTTTATATATAGATTATATAAAGTTATTATAAAATACTGACTATATTCCCTATGTTGTACAATATATTCTTTAGCTTACTTACTTTAATCATAGCAGTTTGTACTGCATAATCCCCTGGCTTTATATTGCTACTCTCCCTTCCATCTCCCCACTGGTAACCACTAACTTTGTTCTCTATATCTGTGAATCTGTTTCTGTTTTGTTGTATTCATTCATTTATTTTTTAGATTCCACATAAAAGTGATAACATATAGTACTTGTCTTTCTCTTCTAGATTTATTTCACTGAGCAATGTCCTCCGAGTCCATGCATGTTGCTACATGGCAGTATTTCATTCTTTCTTATAGCTCAGTAATATTCCTTTGTATTCAATATCTTCTTAATCCCATTATCTCTTGATGGGCACTTGGGTTGTTCCCATATCTTGGCTATTATAAGTAATGGTCCATGAACATTGGGGTGCATATATCTTTTTGAATGACTAGTTTTGCTTTTTTCGAGATATGTATCCAGGAGTGGAATTGCTGGATCGATTTTTAGGTNACTCTGTCTATCAGATCTAGTCCCTTAAATCTATTTCTCACTTCCACTGTATAATCATAAAGGATTTGATTTATGTCATACCTGAATGGTCTAGTGGTTTTCCCCACTTTCTTCAATTTCAGTCTGAATTTGGCAATAAGGAGTTCATGATCTGAGCCACAGTCAGTTCCCAGTCTTGTTTTTGCTGACTGTATACAGCTTCTCCATCTTTGGCTACAAAGAATATAATCAATCTGATTTTGGTGTTGACCATCTGGTGTTTTCCATGTGTAGAGTCGTCTCTTGTGTTGTTGGAAGAGGGTGTTTGCTATGACCAGTGCATTCTCTTGGCAAATTCTATTAGCCTTTGTCCTGCTTCATTCTGTACTCCAAGGCCAAATTTGCCTATTACTCCAGGTGTTTCTTGACCTCCTACTTTTGCATTCCAGTCCCTTATAATGAAAAGGACATCTTTTTTGGGTGTTAGTTCTAAAAGTTCTTGTAGGTCTTCATGGAACCGTTCAACTTCAGTTTCTTCAGTGTTACTGGTCGGGGCATAGACTTGGATTACCGTTATATTGAATGGTTCGCCTTGGAAATGAACAGAGATCATTCTGTCGTTTTTGAGATTTCATCCAAGTACTGCATTTCAGACTCTTTTGTTGACTATGATGGCTACAACATTTCTTCTAAGGGATTCTTGCCCACAGTAGTAGATATAATCGTCATCTGAGTTAAATTCACCCATTCCATAGAGAGGTGTCTTTTAAAGTAAGCCTGAAGTTTGTTCAGTAGCCAGCTAGATGCCATTTACAACCTGGGTGAAGAGCTTATGTTAGGGAAGCACTTGGGATCATCAGGAGTTTGAAGGAAGCTTCTTGTAATTAAAGACCATGGAGCAAGCCAAAGATGAGGCAAAGATGGCAAGCAGTTTGGGATTTGAGATCATTTTTTTTTTTCAGAGTGGTTTTAAGTTCACGGAAAAATTGAGTTGAAGATACAGAAATTTCTCATATACCCCCTGCTCCCACACATGCGTGTTGTTCAGTCACTCAACCATGTCCAACTCTTTAAGACCCCATGGACTTCACTTACCAGGCTTCCCTGTCCATCACCATCTCCCAGAACTTGCTCAAACTCAGCTCCATTGAGCCAGTAATGCCATCCAACCATCTTGTCCTCTGTCATCCCCTTCTCCTCCTCCCTTCAATCTTTCCCAGCATTGGGGTCTGTTCCAATGAGTAGGCTCTTCACATCAGGTGACCAAAGTATTGGAGCTTCAACTTCAGCATCAGTCTTTCATATTCAGGGTTGATTTCCTTTAGGATTGACTAGTTTAAGCTCCTTGCCATCCAAAGGACTGTCAAGAGTCTTCTTCAACACCATGGTTTGAAAGCATCAATTCTTTGGCACTTAGCCTTCTTTATGGTCCAGCTCTCACATCCATACATGGCAACTGTAAACACCATAACTTTGACTATACAGACCTTTGTCACAGACACATGCATAGCCTCCCTTATTAATATCTCCCACCAGAATGGTATATTTGTTATAGTTGATGAACCTACATGGACACATCTTATCATCCAAAGTCCATAGATTACATTAGGGTTCACTCTTGGTGTTATACATTCTATGAGCTTGAATAAATATGTAATGACATGTATATTCTCTGCCACAAAATTCCTCTGTAAGATCTTGGGTTTTTTGTTGGTGGTTTTTTTTTTGTTTGTTTTGTTTTTTTTGCTAAATATGAGTAGCGGCTGCAGGGCTGCCAATATGTCTTAATAGTAGTCTTATGTCTTGGCTAATAGAAAGTTGCTACATAACACAAGGAGCTCATCCCAGGGCTCTGTGACAGCTCATAGGGGTACGATGGGGGCGCTTGGAGGGAGGCTCAAGAAGGAGGGGATATGTGTGCACTTCTGATTGATTCATGTTGTTTTATGGCAGTAGCCAACACAACACTGTAAAGTAATTATCCTCCAAAAAAATTTTTTTTAAATAGCTTTATCTCTACTTCTTTCCTCAAACAGGTAAAATGATAGAAGATTACTGGGGGGTATCGAGAAAGATTCTCGGAGATCTGAAATTCTTGGAAAGTCTCAAGACATATGACAAAGACAACATTCCCCCAGTGATCATGAAGCGGATCCGGGAAAGGTTTATCGATCACCCAGATTTCCAGCCTGCTGTAATTAAAAATGTATCATCTGCATGTGAGGGTCTGTGCAAGTGGGTGAGGGCCATGGAGGTGTATGATCGTGTGGCCAAAGTGGTGGCCCCCAAACGGGAGCGGCTGAAGGAAGCTGAGGGGAAGCTGGACACGCAGATGCAGAAACTGAACCTGAAGCGAGCAGAGCTGAAGCTAGTGGAAGACCGCCTCCAGGCCCTGAACGATGACTTTGAAGAGATGAATACCAAGAAAAAGACATTGGAGGGAAACATTGAAATCTGTTCCCAAAAGCTGATCAGGGCAGAAAAACTGATTAGTGGTCTTGGGGGAGAGAAAGACAGATGGACAGAAGCCGCTCGGCAGCTGGGTATCCGTTACACTAATCTGACGGGGGATGTGTTGCTCTCCTCTGGGACTGTGGCTTACCTAGGGGCCTTTACTGTGGATTATCGGGCTGAGTGCCAGAAGCAGTGGCTGGCCCAGTGTGAGGACAAGGTCATCCCTAGCTCCACTGACTTCAGTCTTAGCAACACATTAGGAGATCCTGTAAAAATTCGTGCCTGGCAGATTGCTGGGCTTCCCATTGACTCCTTCTCCATTGACAATGGCATCATTGTATCCAATTCCAGACGCTGGGCTTTAATGATTGACCCTCAGGGGCAGGCCAATAAGTGGATCAAGAATATGGAGAAAGCAAACAAGCTGTCAGTCATCAAGTTCTCGGATACCAACTATGTGAGGACGCTGGAGCACGCTCTGCAGTTTGGTGCCCCAGTCTTACTAGAAAATGTTGGGGAAGAGTTGGATGCCTTTATTGAACCCATCTTGCTCAAGTCCACATTCAAACAGCAAGGGGTTGAGTACATGAGGCTTGGTGAAAACATCATCGAATACTCCAGAGATTTTAAGTTATATATCACAACCCGTTTGAGGAACCCACATTACCTCCCTGAGGTGGCCGTGAAAGTCTGTCTCCTCAACTTTATGATCACTCCCTTGGGCCTCCAAGATCAACTCCTTGGCATCGTGGCTGCCAAGGAGAAGCCAGAACTTGAAGAGAAAAAGAACAAGTTGATTATGGAAAGTGCCAAGAACAAGAAACACTTAAAGGAAATTGAAGATAAGATATTGGAGGTCCTTTCCCTTTCTGAGGGCAACATACTTGAGGATGAGACTGCCATCAAAATTTTGTCTTCGTCCAAAGTGCTGTCTGAAGAAATCTCTGAGAAACAGGAAATTGCTTCAGTGACAGAAACACAGATCGATGAGACCCGTATGGGCTACAAGCCAGTGGCTGTTCATTCTGCCACCATCTTCTTTTGTATCTCTGACCTGGCCCACATTGAACCCATGTACCAGTACTCGCTGACATGGTTCATAAACCTCTACATGCAGTCTCTGGCCCATAGCAAGAAGAGTGAGGAACTAGAGCTACGAATTGAGTACATCATTGATCATTTCACCCTCAGTATCTACAACAACGTCTGCCGCTCTCTGTTTGAGAAGGACAAGCTGCTTTTCTCCCTCCTCTTGACAATAGGAATCATGAAAGAGAAAAAGCAAATTAATGAGGAAATTTGGTACTTTCTTCTAACTGGAGGCATTGCCCTGGACAACCCTTTCCCCAACCCAGTTTCTGAGTGGCTGTCTGAGAAGGCATGGGCAGAAGTGGTCCGTGCATCTGCATTGCCAAACCTGAAAGGCCTTATGGAACATTTGGAACAAAATGGTAATGAATGGAAGTTCATCTATGACTCAGCCTGGCCCCACGAGGAAACATTCCCTGGACCTTGGAAGTTTCTTGAAGGTTTGGAGAGGATGGTGATCCTCCGATGTTTGCGGCCTGACAAAATGATTCCAGCCATTCGGGAGTTCATTGCTGAACACATGGGAAATGTATACATTGAAGCCCCTACATTTGATCTCCAGGGGTCCTACAATGATTCCAGTTGCTGTGCACCATTGATATTCGTGTTGTCTCCAGGTGCAGACCCAATGGCAGGTAAGTGTAGAATGTTGTGTGAGGAATATTAATAGATGGATAACAATAGCTTGTCCCTATTGAGCAGGAATCTCAAACTCAAATGGCTTTGAAGGGCAATCCGGTTAACAGACTAAGGCAGGGCTGGAACAACATAAGACTTCTTTTCTGGCCTAGAGGGCAGCTCTTTTGTATTGTACCATTTGATAATGTGATTTTAGGATGACCAGATTATCTGCTTCTTCAAAAGAAGAAAGGTAGAAATCACCCATTTTAAAAAAATATTTATTTATTTGGCTTCATCAGGTCTTAGTTGCAGCATATGGCATCTTCCTTGCATCTTGTGGGATCTTTCATTATTGTGTACTGGCTTAGTTACTCAGTGGCATGTGGGATCTCTGTTCCCTGACCAGGCATTGAACTTGTGTCCCCTGCACTGCAAGGCAGACTCTTAACCACTGGACCACCAGGGAAGTCCAGAAATTACCCATTTTTAAATCTTGATAGCTCATTCAATTTTTTTCTTAAAAACTTTAAGAGGGCCTAGATTTAGCCTGGTGACTGCTAGTTTATCACCTTTGTCTTAGACCATTTTCTCAGACCATTGTTTCTCTCAGCTATGCTTTTCTCTGTTTTTTGAATCTTTAAATTTTTTGAGTAATTAATGCCTCATGTAGTAAAAAAAAAAAGAAAAGAAAATGCAAAAAGCATAGGATTATGGTTCCATTAGGACCATTTTGTTACCTCAACAGACATTTGGCAAAGTGGGAGGACATTTTTGCTCTCACAAAGAGGGGGTACTACTGGCATCTAGTAGGTAGAAATAAAGGATGCTGCTAAGTAGCCTACAATGCCCAGGACAGCCCCCACGACAAAGGATTATCCAGACCATAATGTAAATAGTACTGGGGTTTAGAAGACTGAAAGGTACATCTTCCTCCTAACTCTCTCAGAAACAACTGCTGCTAGTAGTTTGCATAATTTTCCAGAAGGTGTGTGTGCATGTAAAGGGATATGAGTTATTGATAGAAATAGATTAGTTTTCTATTCTGTTAGGGGATCTTAAAGCTTTAGTTTTCTCTGTTGTTGAATGAAAAAAGAATACCAGAAATGTAAGTGACAAGATTGGCAGTTCTCCTGTGAAAACTGAGAAATTTGACGTGTATTCTGGCCTTGTTAGAAAGCCTGCTCTTCAAAGAAAATCAGAAGAAGGAGCTGAAATGAACTGGTACTTTTCCAGGTTCCAACACTTAAATTATTGTTATTGTCAAAGCTCAACTCATGACCCCTTACTAGCGTCTTGCTTCTTCCCCTGTGTTGTTTCTGTGGTAGGCTTATATAGGAAAAATGAGAGGAAACTAGGAAAAGTAGAGAAAAGAAATGGAGGAAAGAGTAGAATATGCTCTGTAAAGTGATGATGTGTTGGGAGAGAACAGGCCTGTAGAATCTAATGGTGTATATAGCTTATTCCTGTCCCTCCACACTAGAGGCTTCATCAGATTCAGCTTGGATGATGTCCCAGGCATCCACAGATGCTGCGTCTGGTTATCCTTTATCATTAAAATTGATCACTGGGTTCAGGAGTTGTCAGCGTGATTCATGTCAATACCTCTCTACTGCCTCCTTTATAAAATTTCCCATCAGCCTTTCCACCTAATGTGGCTCTCACTCCTGGCTGCACATTGAACTCACCTAAAGAACTTTAAGAAAATCTCCATGAAAAACAAATACTGTATGGTATCACTTATATGTAGAATCTAAAATATGGCACAAATGAACCTATCTATGAAACAAAACCAGACTCACAGACATAGAGAAAAGACTTGTGATTGCCAAGGAGGGGTTGGAGAGGGAAGGCTTGGAAGTTTGGGGTTAGTAGATGAAAATTACTATATATAGAATGGATAAATAATAAGGTCCTACTATATAGCACAGAGAAATATACTCAGTATCTGAGGATAAGCCATAATGGAAAAGAATATAAAAAAGAATGTATATATAACTGAATCAGTTTGCTGTACAGCAGAAACTAACACGACACTGTAAATCAACTATATACTTTGATAAAAAATATATTAAAAGCAGCCAGTGAGAAAAACAAGATAACCTATAAAGAACAGCAGTTAGACTAGCAACCAGTGTTTCAATAGCAACAATGCAGTTTGTGGAATAATGCCATCATGGTGCTAAAGGAAAATACACAAACATAAAATCTATCTTTCAAGAATGAGAATGAAATAAAGAGAACTCTTAATTAAAAACCAAAAAAAAAAAAAAAAAGAAGGAAAATCTTCATGTGCAGGCCTTGCCTTCTACCAATTAAATTAAAATCTTTGTAGGTTAGACCCAGGCATTGTGTTTTATAAAGCTTTTCAGGTAATTTCAACATGCAGCCAATGTTGGGAACCAATGACCTAATGGTTTTATTGGCCTTAGAAAATCATTACCCAGATGCATTATTTCATTAGGGACTGCAAAATGATGAGAATTTAATTCTATCATTCCTCCCTCATAAATTAACTGGAATTCTTCCATAAAGAAGAATTTTTCTTTATCAACTCTTTGGTTTACTCAGGCAGCAAAGGTTCTTGGCTCATACTCTATTTACCAGCTTGCAGAGTAATGAAAGCAATAAGAAGGTGGTTTTCTGGTACATTTATTAGTGCTTGGGTTTTAACATAGTGGATTACTCCACTCCTGTCATCCTTCTTTGTGATGTTCAGATTATTCATCCTTTGGCCTATTAGGATAGAAGTACCTCCATGGCTATATGCTTTTCACATAACCCCAGTGGTTTTGATAACTTTCTTGCTGTGTAGAACTACCATATATCTTTCAGGCTTATCTTGAACAAACGTTTCTCCAAGGAACTCCAATTCCTTTATTGGGTCATGGTATTTGGAAACCTAGGCTTCCTGTCACTACTGAGTACATCATTGATTGCAGACCTTACTTTCCACTCATTCTCTTTTTGGCTACATCCGACCTGCTTTTTTTTTAATGCTGATTTTTAAAATGTATTTCTTTTTGGTTGCAATGGGTCTTCATTGCTGCACATGGACTTTCTCTAGTTGTAGCAAGCGGGGGCTACTCTTCATTGCAGTGCATTGAGGAGGCTTCTGTTGTTGCGGGGCACAGTCTCTCGCACGTGGGCTTCAGTAGTTGCAGTGCATGAGGCTCAGTAGTTGTGACACACAGGCTGAGTGTTGCTCTGTGACAGTCTTCCCAGACCAAGGCTAGAACCCATGGCTCGAAGGACTTCATGTAATCTTTAGGTTTCCCTGGTGGCTCAGATGGTAAAGAATACACCTGCAACGCAGAAGACCCAGGTTTGATCCCTGGGTCAGGAAGATCCCCAGGAGAAGGGAATGGCTACCCTCTCTAGTATTCTTGCCTGGAGAATCCCATGGACAGAGGAGCCTGATGGGCTATAATCCATAGGGTCACAAAGAATCAGACATGATGGGAGAGACTAACACTTCCATGTTGAATTTTTATCTTCAGTAACAATGCTTTCCATTTCTAGGTTTTTTTTTTTTTGTTCCAAATTCATGTATTTTTTTCCCATAGAAGTCTGAAATTTAGGCTACTGACTCAGAAAGCAATGCAGAAGCTTGTCACTGGCCTAGAGCCTGGGTAAAAACAAAAAAGCTACAATTCTTTGGTGAGAAATTAAAATACCAAGCCTAGGCTACTTGCAGCTGAGGGTTTAGAGTTATAGTACCCTGTGGTATGGGATTCTCAGGCTGAGAAATTTCCTGTAAAACTGATCCAGAATGGGGAAACCCTGGGGACACTAGTGTTTGTATATGCAAAATTGTTATGTGAGGGCACCCCTTAAACCCACGGTATGTCAGACTCCCACAGAATAACACAAACTTGCTAATTGTGAACTGACAATAAAAAAAAAAATAATCTACATGAGGAAACACATCACTATAAGGGATAATCAGCACATTAAACAATGAAGAGAATTAATACCCCCTCAGGATTATGGGGATATTATGGACTGAACTTGTCCCTCCCAAGTCTGTATGTTAAAGACATAATTCCTAATACCTCAGAATGTGACTGTATTTGGAGATAAGGTCTTTAACTAGTTAATTGTGAGGTCATTAGGGTAGGTCCTAATCCAATATAACTGGAAGATTAGAACACAGATACACTGACAGGGAGAAGTCCATGCAAGGACACAACGAGAAGATGATGTGAGAACATGGCCACAAACAAGCCAGGAAAAGAAGCCTCAGAGGAAACCAAGTCTGCCAGCACTTTGATTTTTGATTTCTAGCCTCCAGAATAGAAAGAAAATTAATTTCTGTTGTTTAAGTCATCCAATCTTTAGTTACTTGTTATGGCAATCTAGCAGATTAATATTGTCTCTGGGACAGACCATAAAAGAAACTCACCTAAAAATCATCAAAGAAGAAAAACTCACAAAAAAAATATAACACTGGCTCCCTCTGAGGAAGAGAGATGTGAAAGAGACCTACTCGAAATTTCACTGTCCAAATACCAGTTTTCCTAGTAAGTTTGTAAAAGCCCAGTTCCTAAATTAACTTACTTACAAAGCAGAAATAGAGTCATAGATGTAGAAAACAAATATAGTCACCAGCGGGCAAGGAGGGTAGGGGTAAACTGGGAGATTGGGATTGATACATACACATTACTATATATAAAATATATAACTAACAAGGACCTACTGTATACCACAAGGAATTCTTTTTAATATTCTGTAATGACCTATATGGGAAAAGAATCTAAAAAAGAGTGGATACATGTATTTGTATAATTGATTCACTTTGTGGTACACTTGAAGCTAACACAGCATTGTAAATCAACTATACTCCACTAAAAATGAAATGTAAACCCCCTCTTCTGTGTTGTTATTGTTAATATGGTCTTAAGTAGCCTGTTCTCTTTCAAAAGTCCTTTTTCTTCCTGATCTCAGGCCTGCTGAAATTTGCTGATGATCTTGGCATGGGAGGTACCAAAACACAGACCATCTCCCTTGGCCAAGGCCAAGGCCCTATTGCTGCCAAAATGATCAACAGTGCCATCAAAGATGGGACCTGGGTGGTCTTACAGAACTGTCATCTGGCCACAAGCTGGATGCCTGCTCTGGAGAAGATCTGTGAGGAGGTGATTGTTCCTGAGAGCACCAACATGGGATTTAGGTGAGATGTTGTCCCACCAGTGTGTCTCTGGGACCCAGTCTTGAGCTCCAGATGTCACTGTAATGACTGGGAATCCAAACAAGATACAGTTCAACCCTTAAGAAGCTCTCAGTCTAGTAGAAAGCAGACCATATATGAATAATGTTGATACCATACAATACCTGCTATATTTGTTTAAACAAGAATGGAAAAGGAAGGAAAAGTTGAGGAAGGCCTTGAGTGTTGAAAGATAAATAGGAATTTTCCAGGAAGGCCATTCCAGACAAAAGGGACAACATTTATAAAAGCAAAGGAAACACCAAGACATTATCTTGTGATTCTGGGGTATATGCTGTGAGAAACTGTTGTAGGGAGGTGATATGATATGTGTCTGAAAAGATAGATTTAATACCAGCAAATTAGTTTTAAAACTTATTGGTCCAAAAAAAAAAAAAAATCTCACCTGTAGTCTAGCTACTTGCTCTATCTTCTGTTTCTGGAGATCCATGGAATTTTAATCAATATTGGAAGCAGCCATTTGTTCTCTATGAACTTTTAAAGTCCAGCAAGACTAGGCCTAAATTTTTGCATTTAGAGAATGATGAGATGAACCAGATAGGCTTTGAAGTCTTTTAACTTAGATTTTCAGTGATCTTCTTATTCTGGACCAGGGGTGAGCAAACTATAGCCAAATCTAGTCAGCAGCCTATATTTGTACAGCATGCAATCTAAGAATAGCTTTACATTTTTTCATGGTTGAAAAAAACTGAAAGAAGAATAATACTTCATGACATGTGAAAATTATATAAAATTAAATTTTAGTGTCTAGAAATAGAGTTATAAAGTTTTATTGAAATATAATCATATGCACTCACATATTGTCTACAACTGCTTCTATGCTTCAAGTAGTTGTGACAGAGACCATATGGCATGCAAAGTCTAAACCACTTACTGTTTGATCCTTCATAGGAAAAGGTTGCCAAATCCTGTACCAGGCAACTAAGTTTGCTAGTTATTTTTATTTTAGTTATGTCTGCCTGAAAATAGAAAAGTGTTTGGTGTTTATTTACAAAGCCAGATTAGGCCATAGTTGATTGTATTCATGTAAGGCTTATACAAAATTAATGTAGAAGTTTAAGAGGAAATCCATTAATTTCAAGAATTCTATTTAGTATGGGATGCTGAGTTGTTTCATTTATTATCAGTTACATACTCAATGAAGAAAAATTATTCATGTTGACATCTAAGACTTCTTGACCCCAAAGTTGGAGAAGGAAACAGCAACCCACTCCAGTACTCGTCTGGAAAATTCCATGAATGGAGAAGCCTAGTAGGCTACAGTCCATGGGATCGCAAAGAGTCGGACACGACTGAGCGACTTCACTTTCACTTTTAACTTAACCCCAAAGTCACAAGCTTAAGTACTTATGCAAGCCAGTGATAAATGACTGAAGAGGATTGGGCACAAGAAATATTCCACATTCCACACTGCAGTAGCTATCATCATGGGCAGTCAGCCTCAGTTGAATATCAGTAGGGAGAGGTGGGGACTGTGGTAAACTAGAGCACATGCCCTGTAGAGATGAGCTACTACTGTCTAATGACAGCTAACTGTTGCCAAGCAGACATGAAGGCCTCTTGTGTCTAGATTTTCTGATTATTTTAAAGGAAAGATGGGAAACTAGAATTTTAAAAGAAAGCCCTAGATTTGTAAAAGTTGGCAACTACTTCAAAAATATGTTGCAGCATTGTATTGGTCTGCATGGTGAGAGTTAAACATCAGCCAGCTGCAAACTGAGGTCAGGTCATAGGTCACCAGTTTATGGTCTTTCCTGCCCCTCTGAGCCCTGTGCCTGGACCAAAGCAGGCTGCCCACCAGCCCTGACCACATCCCCAACTTTCCCTCCTCCATGTGGTTGCTCAGCCTGTGTCTTTAATGATGTTTCATCCCCCAAATCTGCCTGTTGGAAACCTTTCTAATGTCTAGCTAGCAAAAAAACCCCACAAAAATGAAACAAAACAGGATGTCACAGTACATATGTAGCTTGAGCCTGAGTAAGAAAAGCAAATGAAAGACAATATGCCAATATGTTAACTTGTAGATGGTAAAATTTTATGTATATATATATATATATATATATATTTCTTACTACTTTTACCTATGTTCTCATTTTTTTATTAAAAAAATCTTCCATATTCTCAAGGCCCATTTCAAATGCCACTGGCCTCTATGACAGCAGTCAGCAAACTTTTCCTGTAAGGGGCCAGATAGTGAATATTTTAGACTTTACAAGCCATATTGTCAAATGCAACTATTCAACTCTGCTGTTGTAGCATGAAAGCATCCCTAAATAATTTGTAAATAAAGGGGTGTGGTCATATTCCAATAAAACTTTATTTATAAAAATAGGTTAAGGCTAGATTTGTCTCCCTGGCAGTCGTTTGCAGACATTTGCTCTCCCCACCTCATGTATCCCCACAGCCTATTACTTCCCTCCCTCCCTGCAGTCTTGATTTTAAAACTTCTTGGCATTGTTTGCTTGTCTTTTCTCCCCTCCTCAGCTCCCATTTCCCTTCCCCTCCTCTGCACCCCCACCCCGCCCCTGACACCCCCAGCAGCAAGACTGTGAGTGATCTCGAAGCAAGAAACAAGGTGTGTCCTTGAAGACCCCACTTGACCTTGCTATACCTCTGTTTCCTCACTGGTAAAGGGGGTGGTAAATCAGAGGTTGGCTGTGAGGATTAAAGTAAATGAAGGGACATAAATTCTTAGCATTGGGTTCAACATCTATCAGAGTATAAAAAAAAAGTTATTTTTTTGTTACTGTTTTTAAATATATGTATTACATTGCTCTAAATAATTGGATCTGTTGCTCTTCTAGACTCTGGTTAACCAGCTATCCATCAGAGAAGTTTCCAGTCAGCATCCTCCAGAATGGGATTAAAATGACCAATGAGCCCCCTAAAGGGCTCCGGGCCAATCTTTTGCGCTCTTACCTCAATGACCCCATCTCAGACCCCGTGTTCTTCCAAAGCTGTACCAAAGCAGTGATGTGGCAAAAGCTATTGTTTGGCCTTTGCTTCTTCCATGCCATCGTTCAAGAGAGGAGAAACTTTGGACCCCTAGGTGAGAGATGACAGCGTACCTGGATTGCTGGGGGAAGGATCACAGACAGATGCAGAAATGCATTCAAGTTTGTACTCAGGGTTGCCAGTAAAATAAGGTGTAAGAAAAAAGATAAGGTATAAATATGTTCCATGTACTATTTGGGACATATTTATACTAAATATGATTTGTTGTTTATCTGAAATTAATTTCACTGAGTGTCCGTGTATTTTTCTTTAATAAGTCTGGCAACCTTATAACCAGATTAGGATCAGGGTCAGGGAAAGAGGTGATGCTCCAGAATCAGAGGTCTCCTAATTACTGAAGTTATGTGATAATGAGAAGATCGAAAGCCCTTCCCTTTAGTGTGTATTTGCCTAGCTTTTGTACAATGGCCATTTTCCAGGGAATTTTCACCAGGTAACTTATAACAGTTTAGGTTGCTCTCTTTACATATGCATAACAATGAAAGAAATACAACTGGGAAAGCTGTCTATGCTTCTCCTTGAAAAGAATAAACATACATTTCTTTATTAATGTAACCTATCCATGCCCTAACTTAAGTGATTTAGTATTCTTGTTGGAGCAGATCATCAAACTAAATACAGATCCCAAGTCACCATGGTTTTAAGGATGGATTCTTTTTCTCATGGAGAATGGATGGATACCCATATCATTTCTCATGGATCATTTTTCTCATTAATCCCATGGGCTACCTCCAATTCTTTTCTTGAAATGACCCACCTCAAGGTATTCTTAGCAATTTTGGGAGGTTACCAAAAGAGGCAAATTGTCTTCTTGGTGATTCTCTCAGAACATTCTCTTTCCTTCTACCTGTCCCAGTTAGCACCACACCACCTGACTCTTCTACTTGGGTTTCAGGGATGAGACAGCCAAAGTGGACACTCCCTCTACACTTGCATCTCACACACCAATTTCTTCCATACATGCCTAACCTCCAAAAATCCATACAACAATTTGGCTTATAGTCAACTGCCCCGTTGTGTTTTGTTTGCCAGAACACAAGTCTTTGGGTTTTTTTTAATTTATTAATTAATTTATTAATAATAAATAATTGTTGGCTGCACTGGCTCTTCCTTGCTGCCTGAGGGTTTTCTCTAGTTCCAGCGAGTGAGGGCTACTCTTCATTGCAGTGGCTTCTCTCACTGCAGAGCACCAGCTCTAAGGAATGGGCTCAGTAGTTGTGGCACACAGGCTTAGCTGCCCTGCTGCATGTGGAATCTTCCTGGACCAGGGATCAGACCTGTGTCCCCTGCATTGGCAGGCAGGTTCTTAATCACTAGACCACCAGGGAAGTCCAAGTTTTTGTTGTGTTTAATTTGAATGTGAATGTTTAGGAGGAAATTAAACATCTCCATTGAATGCAGGTCCCATCACACCCTACTGTCTTACATCAGAACTGCTTCATACATTTATGTTACTTGTATAGCCCCACTGGGCATTTATCATTATAAACTTTGGAAATACAGTGCAAGGAGGGGAATTCTCAAAGCTAACTCAGTATTGCCCAATCACAGATACTGCTACCTATACTTTAGTGTTATTTTTGGCATTCTATGCATTAGCATGGTATTCCAGCCAGGGTGAATAATCCTCATTCCACAAATGCCAGGATGGTAACGTCTTCCTTAACAAATGGGGAGATCCATAAGGAAATTGACTTTAGAATGGATGTTTTTTTCAAGCAGAATGTCTCCCACGCTGGCAGTAAATGTCAAAGCTAATAGTTGGCAAGGTGCTTAATATTCATGGGACTGAAAAGAGGCTCTTGATCCATAATGATGTTTAACTTTGCCAGTCCAATCTCTGGGTGGGAATTAAGAGCTCTCATCTCTAAGCATATAATTCATCTTTGCCTCATGCAGGTTGGAATATTCCTTATGAATTCAACGAATCTGACCTGAGGATTAGTATGCGACAGATCCAGATGTTTCTGAATGATTACAAGGAGGTGCCATTTGAAGCTCTGACCTACCTGACAGGTATTTATGGGAGGAGGCTTTGGCAGCCATAAACCTCCACAATTATGCTCTAACTTCCTGCTGCTCTGCTCCCATCTCCATTCGTTTACCCACTTATGCTTTCAACAAACATTGATCTCTTACTGATGCTGGTCACCATGCTGGATGTTGTAAAAAAAAAAAAAAAAAAACCAAAAAAAATCACGATCAATCCTTCCCCTTAAGTGGTGCACAGTCTACAAAGGGAGAGAAATATAACAAAATAAGTGACAGTACAGTGGTAATTTCAATAAGAGAAACATTTACAAAGTAGAAAGGCAGCACAATGATTAAATTTCAGATATAGGGTGGGGATGATTAGGGATAACTTCCTAAGGCATTACAGATGATTTTGAGGGAAAAGTAGGAGTTTTTTACAACTGGAAGAAGGAGTGGGAGTGGGTGGTGAAAAAAAGGAAGGCAAGTGCTCCCAACAGAGATACCCTGAGGTGAAAATGACACTTGCTGGTTTGTACTAAAGCAATTCATCAGCAGTCTTTTATTAACCATACAATATATACCAGTACATAATATGGAAGAATGTAAATATATAAAACTTGATCACTGCCCTCAAGAAAAATACCATGTAATCCTAGAGAGATGAGATAAAATATAGATGGTCTAAATGAGTGGATTACTATGGCCAAAAGTCAAAGTGCAGCTCAAAAGAAAAACCTGGGCATCTTCAAGGTCACATACAAGTTCCTCCCTCAACTCTGGATCCTTTCCCCAGTCAAATGGCAGGTGCGCTGTCTACATCATTCAGTTTTCACAGTAATCTTATAAGCTTCATGTTAGTGACCCTGTTTTACAGCTGGCAAAACCAAGATCTTAGCACATGGGTTCTCAGCTAAGGGTGATTTTGCCTCCTAATGGACATTTGACAAATTGAAGAGACATTTTTTGTTGTCACAACTAAATAGATGTGCTACTGGGTAGAGGCCAGGATGCTGCTAAACATCCTCCAATGCACAGGACAGCCCCCTGCAACACAGAACTACCCAGTGTACAACACGTCAATCATGCCAAGATTAAGAAACTCTGCTTTAGAGTGATTAAATTCAGTTTAAAGTAAAAGGTGACACAGACCTTACTTCAGCATAGTGTCCCCTTAAACAAAACCCCAAGTGACATGCACAACATGAGTTCAGTGGATTTTAGTTTGGTGAAAGAACTTTTCCAAATAAGTGAGCCATATTCCCATTATTCCAGGCCACACAGAAGTACATCCCAGAGCTCTTCTTCAGATCACAGAATGAGTGCATTAGTGTCCTGTGATGTGGTCTTAGTGTTGGACTGCCTGCAGCTCATAAACCAATCCACCCCAGTCGTGCCAGCTGGCCTGAGGATAGTCACTTTTCAACTATACAAATCAGGATAGACTAGTTAGGCTGAGATGACACGCAATCTCCAAATCTCAAGGATATCGGACACCAAAGGTCTATTTCTTGCCCATCCTGTTATGCATGTCTGGTGTGAATTGGCGAGGGTCTCTGTTCATTGTCATTGTCTATCAGAGGCACAGTTGGCAAAGGCTCTACCAACTTTTGATGCCACCATCTCAACATAGACTTCTGTGGTCACTGCCACAGGGGTAGCACTGAAGAGCTCAGGTTGGGAATTAAATATGCAAGAAGTTGTCACCTGGCCACACCTCACTGCAAGAAGTGTAGTGAGGTCAATGGTGAAAAATTGAAAGCATTTCCCCTGAAATCAGGAACAAGACAAGGGTGCCCACTCTCACCACTACTATTCAACATAGTTTTGGAAGTGTTGGCCACAGCAATCAGAGCAGAAAAAGAAGTAAAAGGAATCCAGATAGGAAAAGAAGAAGTGAAACTCTC